TCCCTTTACCCACTTTTCTGTTGTCCATCCCCCAGGGATATCACATGTAGATCCTTGTAATTGGTTCCCCCCTTCCACCCTCCCAGGATCACCACTCACACCACTGGTCCTGAAGGGATCATCTGTCCTGGATTCCCTGTGTTTCCAGTTCCTATCTGTACCAGTGTATATCCTCTGGTCTGGCCAAATTTCAATTTTTAATCAAAAGAAATACAAAAAAATGAAATACTCAGGGAATGAAAGTGTTTTTCTAAGTCAACTGTGACCTGCAGGCCACCAGGTTTTGACATCGCTCTGAAATGGAAACGTCTGTTCTCTTTCTTCTCCGGGTATTATCCTGCCTTGTACTTACAGTTCTAGGTCTTACTTGCCTCAGATGCAGACGGCGATTGTAAGAGGAACGACAGAGTTGTTAAAAGGATTAAGAGCATACGCCATTCAAGGCACTTACACTCAGAATCAACATGCACTGTTGCCACTGTTCTCATTTTAAGAAATGAAAAGTACTGGGCATTTCAATGAAGCATCGATACTAAGCAGCTTGGGGAAAAAACAAAATTGGAATTGGTATAAAAGTTCTGAAAACAATTTGGTGATATGAATCGAAAGGTGTTCATTTTTGTATCTTTTGATTCAGGAATAACTCTACGAATATGTCTTAAGGATAAAACAACAATTCCTAGGGCGGGAAATGGCTCAATGTCATATTGTTTGTTGTATTATTAACTAAATCTTCAAATACAAGTAAACATCCAATTGGTGAAAAATTAAGCAAATGTTATAAATAATATTTATGGATCATGAAATATACTATTATAATAAAAACAGCATTGAGAATTAAATATGCCCTTTACTCTTTATATTATAAAATAACTATAACTTATAACTTAGGTCAATATATGTTTATTGACCACTTTAGGTTCTGGTTGTGGTTCCAGTTGGGGATTCAGTAAAAAAAAACAAAAACAAAATAATAGCAACTGCAGCCCTCATAGAGCATATAGCAATATTATAGTGGGGAGTTTTAATTATATTACAGCCTGAATTCTAGTAGGAAAAACTGGTGAGATACCGATGTTCACTGTGTTTTTGGTAGAACCATGTCTCTCCATCTCTTTTTTATTCTACTTTTATTTATTTTTCCAAATTTCTTTTAACATTCTATAACTTAGATTCCAGGTTGGGAGCTATAAATTTAGTATTCCATGTGGGTTTAAGAGCTATCTTTAGCAATTCAATGAAGTCTAACTAAATCCTATCTATAGATGTTAGGTCTGCATATACTGTAATAAAACATGAAATGTTATTGCTGGAACATTTGAATGGGTCTATGTATCAATTTTGGAGCCCTAATTTTCCCAATGTGATAGTAATAGTTCCACATTTTTGTATTTAATAAAAGTTGAAATACAGTTTTGCATACAGTTCCTCCTAAAACAGTATCTGTGGAAGGGAAGAAGTGAGCGGTGGTGAGTTTAGAATGATGGCCTGAAAGAGCTTAGCTGGAGTGTTCAACATGGAACCTTGAATCCAGGTTCAGGGTTTGCATAAGATTAGAGGCTTTACCTTACAGAGCTGTCATAATTTCAACTAAAAGGAAAAGACTGTTCATGATATGTATTTTTTACAATAAAAGGTTAAATGCCAGCCTCCAAAATTTATGTGGAAATCCCAATGAATGAAGGTCAGAATTTAACCCTAGAGAGACAGCATATAAAATTTCAAAGACTCTACGGTCTCATCTTACTGGTATTATTATTATTCATAAAGGGCAAACATCAAACCCTTAAAGAAAAAAAAAAAGATAAGCGGCGGGGGTGGGGTGGGGTGGGGGGGGAGCTCCATACCTCTCTGAAACAGTTATTGTATACCTCAAAGGGTAATTTGACTTCTTAACCTGCTATCCCAATAGAAATGATTGTGTGTAACTGCTTGCCTTTGTTCAGAGACTAATCACTAAATTGTGAAAAATCACCCTCAACTTACAAAAACTGCTCTTGATTATAAATAATTGCCCCAGACTGAGAGAAAGCGGCAGGCAAGATCCCAGTCTTTCATCCAATTTATTCAGCAGCAATCCACATTCCATTTGTCTAGACTAAATATAGCAGCGTTTATACAAGAAATCAATAGTGCTTGCAGAGAGGAGAGCAAAGGCATGAATATTTCATCAAACTCAGAGAGAAATGGCAATCAGCAAACTGACGGTTTTGTGTAGGTCATCTTTAGACTGTGGGGTTTGTTCCTGTTACTTGGACAATAGCTCATCTCTGGCTAATCAAAATCATATCATAGCCATTCTTTCCATTTTTAACCTTGATTGCATTGTGGGTGACAAAGGCTCATCATGTTCCAAATGGAATGATGTGTTTTCTTGCATCTTTTATGACAGGCTAATAGGCCTCCCCAGGAGCAACAGGAGTAACACAATGGTAGGGGCTGAGCGTCAAGGGGTTCCAGTCACGACTGTATCACAGAATGGGAAGGATAGGCCATTGTCCACAGCTGCCATATTATCATAATTAGAAATAAATTAACCCACCAGGAAACAAAAATAACTACTGGTTTTTGAAGTGAGGAAATGGAAGCGTCCCTGTTCATACCATTTCTTGTCTAAAAACATGTAAATTCCTCACAAATTACTTAGAACAGGTGGTCAGGGATACATCAGCTAAGAGGAAATCCATGACAACAAATATTAGTAGTTGATTATAAATGAATCATGCTTTTGATGAACCTTAAGATTTTATGGTAAATTTAAGGGAGGAACATGACATTCTATAATTTTTCCTTAGTGCCACTTTGTTTCCCAGAAATAGCAAATACAAGTATACACATGTATGCTATGTTTATATCACTATAATACAAACTAATGATCTTAATAGAAAATGGCTTAAGTAGAATTGAAGGCTACATAGCTTAAATGGTCAAATATATCTGCTCTACTGAAAATTTAATATATATTAAATATTCTCAATTGTCAGTTTATAGAATCCTGTTCATTCTTACTTTGTAAAAACTCTCTTACTGGTTCTTTGACAGTGGCTCCAGCCGCTGCTTAATGCTCAGCTACACGTGAAATGCTGTCTTAGAAAGATTTTATCTTAAAATAAATGTAGAAAACAAAAACTCTCAATTCAAAATTAAAAGAAAATACCCCGATCATTTAGATGTTGATAGTGATTCCATTTTATTTAAGCAACATTCACACATGTTCGCTTGTGAGATGTAACTGAATACATATGACAAAGACCATTTAATGAGTATCAAGACCATTGTCGAACCAATCCCCAGCCCTGAAATTAATCTAATAGACATGAAAGATTACGGAATATGAGATGCTGTTATTTATAGCACAGGTAAGCAGGGTACAGCTGTCACATATTCAAAATCTGCCCCCTCCCCACTCCCGCCCTTATTTTTCGATCTTAACAGCTAGCTTGCAAATAAACAACAAGCCATTTGGAGAATGTTTTAGGTGAACAACTTGCTCACCCTAAGAACAAAAACTATACAAATACACCATTCTAAGCATTTATATCCATCATAACTACTGTCATTCTCCTGAAATGAGATCTCAAAGGAGTAAGGGTAAAGCTATAGATTTAACAAATAAATGGCGCAACATGTCTTCAACAGTCTGCGTGTGTCAACAATTTACTTAAGCCACTTGAAAAAAATACTGCAATTGACTCTTGAGCCCCGCTTCCGTACCTCTGTAAAGATTCC